CTGGCTACTTCAGTTTCCTATTAGTTTAAGCTTTAAGTTTCAATGTAAAATCATGAGGTTTAGCTTTGTAGCGCCATTTCCTAATACAGAGAACTAATTATGATTTACATACTGCCAAACAAATCTCTAGATATGGTTTCTATGTTTTGTCTTTGGTGGATTTAAACGAAGTTATATAAGTTTTATTGGGATTCTTGACTCAACTTACTTTATAGTAACTCAAAAGACACAATAGCTCAATAACAGTTGAAATGTTAGAGACAACTTTTTTAAGTTGTGTTAATTTCTTTATATATTTTGATAAAAGAATTATTCATAAGTTGCAATTCATAACTATCTCAATATTCAAAAATTCATAATTCTTTTAATTCTCATCTAATTCATACAACTTAGATGTTTATTGAAATTAGACGCAGAGATTATAGTTTTTAAAAAATAAATAAATAAAGTTAGAGTAAAAAAATGTAAACCAGAGAATGAGATTTAGAAGTCTAAAGTTGTTGAATGTGATTCGCAAATTTTCTCCAATCATTTATATCCAAAAATTTATTATAATTTTTTTTAATTTTTAATAAAATCATTCAATTTTAGTGTTTATGAAAAGTATATGATATCTAAATTATAGCTACATAGATTTAGTAGCCAAAAGTTGGTCAAAAAAAGGGGTAGGATCATCAAAAACTTCACTACTAACATCTACTTCTTGTTTTCTTCTCTTTCTTTTTCTTTTTCGTTAGCCGCCATGTGTAAAAATTATGATATTGAGTTCTAAATTAATTCAGAGAATTTTTTACTATATATTTATTTGTCCTTTCTTTTTTTCTTTTCTTTTTTATTTCTTAAAGTTTTCTACACTTTTAAAAGTTTATATATATATATATATAATGGGTTTCAACAGTCTAACAAAAACTCTAGTACTTTATACTATAACTTTTAAAATAATTCTAAGTTTCATAAAATAAAAATATGGGTATTCTTGGGTCTGTATTTAAATAATAATTTTTTTTGAGCTTGTTATTACAAGTTTGCAACACTTGTAAATACTAGTTCTTAATGTTTTTGAGCTCGTTCTTTTAGTTTTTTTTTTATGTTATTTTAGCTCATTTTATGTTCTATAACTATTTTTTTTGTAGGTTGAGAATATGGACATTGCGTTAGTATCTGTTCTTGTATTCCACTAAAGTTATTTGATTTAAAATGAATGTTAAGCCTTCTAATTGAATTAATGAAAGAGAAAATCAGGATCATGCTAGTAGTTATGGCATCATGTGTTATAAGGCTTAAACAATGGACTATGGACATTGGTTACATGTTTACTAAACTTTCTCATTCAATGAATGTACTTCTTCTAGAGCAAATTACGTATTGTCTTTCAAAAGTATATCAAAAGTCATCTATATAAATGCAAGATACACTTTGTCCATTATTAAAGGATTGGTTAGTGACCAGGAGCCTACATTTGTCGCCAATCTTGAAGTTATCCAAGCAAATTGCACAATCCAAAAAGGTATTTGATTTGTAATCAAATCAATGAAGCTTGTTTAAATCATCTCTTGACAAGGTTGAGCTTCCATTGCAGCCAATCTCCATTTCAGCGCTGCTTTTCAGATTGTTCCGAAAGGCTCTCCCGACAATGTAAATGTAGATGAGAATCAAAACTATAATTCCTACGAACAACAATGTTACTGATATGATAATGGCCATTACCATGATGCGAGTAGCAACTTGGATAACTTGTTTACTCATAATAAATCTTTTTTCGTAAGTGACTTCATTCTTCTATTGAAAGAAAACTAAAGATTTTCAGGAAGATAATCGGGGAATCGTGAGGGAAAAAGAGTGATTGACGATGATTCTGTAAAATACAGAGTAGGAACAATGTGAAATTGATGGCATTGATGGAGTGAATGGGATGGGTGGGGAATAAAAGAGGGATGAGAAAATATTAAAATATCTCTCTTTTAAAATTTAATTATGCAGTTTGCGATTAATTCAAATTTAATTTTAATTTTTTATTTAAAAAATTAAATAGATAATTACTATATATATTATCATACTAATTTTATTTTTACATTAAAATTTAAGTTGATAAAAATATCTAAAATTTTGTTTCTATGTAATATATATAATTATAATTAACATTGACATATTTTTCTATATTTTATTGTATTATTTATATAATACACACACACACACTAGAGTATGAAAACAGGTTTGTTCATTTTTGTAAATAAAGAATGTATACTTTGTAACAACCCAAAAAAAAAAAAATTATTTTATTTTTATTTTTATTAGAATTTTATTTGATTTGATTTGATTTATTAATTAATTTATAAGGTTGTAATTTAATTTTATTTTATTTAATGGAGATAAAAATAATAATAATGATAAAAATAGGTAAAATTATTTTTGGGAATTAATTGAAAATGATTTTGGGAAAAAAGGGTGAAAATTTGGATTCTGTGGGTGTTTTTGAAAAGAAAATAAAAAACCGAGGGTCAAAACGCAATTTAAAAAAGATTCGCCACGTCAGCAGCCCCAGCCAATCAGGACACGCCGCGTGGCAGGAACGCTGACGCGGGATGGGGCCACGTGAGCAATCCGCGTGCGAGCGATCGGACGGCCCAAATCCGTTCCCGCGCGCACAGACGGCCCAGATTTCACTTGTGCGGACGACCCAGATTGAATCACGCACGGACGGCCCAGATCGCATCACGATGGACGACCCAGATTTATTCCCATTTTAATCGCGATTGGACGGTCCATATTAAATCGTGATGAACGACTGAGATTAAAAGGGGAAGGTTATAAATAACCTCACCCACACCCAACCCCAAACCCTAGCCGCCAGTACCCTCGCCGGAGAAGACGACCCAGTCACCGGAGGAGCCGGCCGCCGCCACCCGCCGCCGCACCAGAGGATTTTCCGACTGCCAAACAAGGTAAAAATTTCTCCCCTGGACTCGTTTTTCGATGCTGAATCCACCTGTGGCCAAATCGGAGCCAAACCACCGGCCAATCGGCCGGAAAACACCGCCGAAGTCCAACAGCGCCACCGTGGCTTCCCTCGATTTTTGCCTCCGATGAGGCCCTTTCCGATTCTCATTTGATGTAATTTTTACATCACTATGATCACCGTCCTTTTCTCTACAGGTTGACCGGAGCAAAACATCAAATTCTGATTCACGCCGAAGAAGCCGTCGCATCCGAGAGCTCCGCCGCTGGTAAGTCTCGATTTTTCGTGATTTTTTGGCCCACCGAGGGCCCTAGAGGTGTTTTATCGCAGCAATCGATAGTGGCCGAAAGGGCCCTGGGTCTGATTTGGGGGTTTTTTGGGGACACGTTCAGGTACTGGAAATGTGTTTCAGTTTTTCGGAAAAAATTCAGAGAATTTAGGGACAGCCCGTAGGCACGGTGAGAACCTGATTTTAGACCCCGAAATAAGTAAGGATCTCTCACTCTATTTCCTATCACAGCATTAAAGTCTAATAAATGATAAAACGGTATTTTATGAATTAATAGATATGTATAATTGATTAAGGTTGCTAATGGAGCCCGAATCTGACGTATTTGTCGGTCTGTTCTTATTTGATGTATTTTGCAGTTTTGAATGCAGTATGGTGCCTGATGTGTTTATTCTATAGTTTCATATGCATGAATCACGGTTTCATTTATTATGCTTTGAATTATTGTGAACCCGATGTTGTGTTATCTTGTTTGGTGTCCATTACTGGTTTACGTGTTTGTGTTTGATTGGATAATTGAGATTAAGAAAAATGGTAAAAAGTTATGTGAATTAATAATGGATAATGTCGACAGCCTCATTAGATATCCTGGGAGATGGTAGACGAACCGGGTCCGTAGGGAACCCTACCGAGAATGTGGTCTCTCATATCAGACGGGGTATGGAGATCTTATGTGTTTTGGTGCGCATACCGGACGGGGTATGGGGACGGTCCTGGAATTAAGTTATTAATGTGAATGGTTCACGTGTGGCAGGGGACCCCCTATGGATTCCTATGGATACTAGTAAACTGATAAAAGAGAAAAATTGTTGTCTAATGATTGAAAAACAAGAGTTTGATATATGTGTTATGTTACAAAGTGTGCATGATTTTATGATGTTATTGTGTTTCATAAGTTTTCTTTCATGAATCTCACCGAGATAAGTGGACAGTAAAGGTTATTATTATTGATAAATGAGTTTGGTATAAATTATGTTCCATTAGTCGTTTTTGTTTTCTACCAACTTTTACTCATGTGACAGTGAGATAGTGTGGTGTCTTTACTGGATTAGTGTAGCTCATTCCTTATTTAACCATTTCAGATGAGGAAGACTTGGTTCCCGAGCCCGTCCTGCAGGAAGACGGCGAGTAGATGACTAAGAATTTCGTATATTTATTTATAGCATTCATTACTCGTGTTTATTTCAGTTAATTTATTCTTTCATATGTTTAATACGTTTTGGTTATTATATAAGGGATATTAATTAAAATTTTTATTTCGCTTCCGCATTTAGAATTTTTAATACATACATTTTCTTTAAATTTCCGGGGCCGTTACATACTTTATATATATATATATATATATATATTAATATTGATATGCAATTTATTTACAAAATCATAACAATCAACTAAAAATTTAAAATGACAATATAAATTTATTTATGTTTTTAAAAAAAGTTAAAAGTGCAGATTGGAGTATTTTCTATAAACCATTTCGTTTATGTTGTAATTATTTTGACAAATATCAAATTCTTAACAACTTAATTAACAAAAAAAATGGAAAAAAACGTCAAACTAAAAAATAAAAACATTCTGTATTAATTATTTAAAAATAATATAATAAGTAGTTAATTTGTAGAATCGAGAATTCTGTGTTTTATCTTGTTTCTCTCTTTGCTCCCTTTAATGTTTTCTGTTAGTTTATTGCTGTTGACTGGTCATTCCCTCTTCACTTGATTATTAGTTTGATTTTTTCTTATATATATATATATATATATATATATGTGAGTTTTTCATTTTTTTTTTAAACTTTCTCAAGTTAATTAATGTTCTATTTTATATTCCTAAACTATCACTTCTTTTTTTTTATAAGAAAACCTGAATTATCAATTTGAAGTAACACAAATGAAAGTTATTATGTATTCTACGCTCACAGGCTAAACAATATATAGAAATTTTATATAACGAATGTACGAACAAATATAAGTATACATGTAGTAGTCCTGAATGCATTCAAGTTGGTTGGTCACCCACCAGTCTGGACTAGACTGTGTAATGACAGATCACCCACTGGACTTACAACCAACTAATAATATCCACATAATACATTATACAAATAAAATAGACAAAAGAATGTTCCGCTATTATTTACAATTTTCCAATTTTCACCCGCTAAAAGTCTCTGTGTCGGCCACCTCAAATCTTTCTAGAAGATATTCAAATCCGTTAAAAGAAAATTGAGGCTATTGTATTTTTAGCAAAGATTTAGCAATTTATGTGGAGTAAGAGAGTAAACCACTTTCATTAAGACCAAACATTTTTATTGTATCCTCGCGACAACAGAGCCCACCACATAGAGTCCGATGTATTGCAAATGGGCCCTCTACAGCAACATTCAGATCTTGAAGTTCCCTCAGTTCACAACTACTATTGTTAGTGCATTTATAGGGCCTAAATATGAAAGATATAGCAAGACACAAGCAGCAGCTAAATAAGATATTAAAGCTCAATTAAATATAAAATTTTAATTACTATTTGATTATTAAATAATATATAATTTTTTATTAATATTAAATTTTTAAATTGTATAAAATTTCTAATATTTTTATAAAATATTTATATTTCAACTTAGATTCCTAAGACTTATATCCTCTATTTAAGAAGATATTTTTGTTATTAATAAAATAAATCAGAATTTATTTCAAATAATAAAATTAAAACTCTCTTTTAACGAGATTTAAAATAGCAGTTTCTCTTGAGAAATTGTAATATCTTCCCACAAAAATAAATTGCTCGCGTAATAATCCTCTGGTAACTCGATCCTTAAACAGGAAACATAACAAATATATTTATTATTACAGATCTGTAGGTGCTACTATATGTGACAGTCCAATGTAGTCATTCAAATGCACTTCAAGACACATAATCTAACTACAATAAATATTATTCTACTCATGCAAAGCTCTAAAGCCTATCCCATTTGGGCTTACACATTTTAAGCCACTCAACAAAACTAAATTAACAATATACTGCCTATTTGAATCAATTTTATGCCAGCAACTACCATAATATCATCAGATTTTTAACATATCCCAACTGCAATGAATTGCGAGGGCGACAGCCTTGGTTTTTTTATTAGTATCAATCTTCTAACTTGACATGGATCTTCAACAAATACCGGATAAGGGTCCCCAGCACTTTCTCTAAGAATACCAAACATGATCCCCAGTACTCGCAAATCAAGGAAATTGCAGATCAATGAAGTAATACTTAAAACTACCACCTTGTCTGATCATGAAAATCAGAGCCTTAAAGACACACTAACTTAATCCGCATTCATCAATGACCAACAAATATGACTTTGTTGTTATTAGTTACCTAGCAGCAAAAACACACAAAAAACACTTGCAAACTATTAAGGCAGGTACTGGAGGATGCTTTCAGAATGAAATCAAAAAATAAACTTGATATAACCAATAAAAATATAAATAAGGCTCAATACCTGCACGCAAACAATACTGTAGCATTCCAGCTCAACTAAGTGCTTAACAACAATTCAGGAGAACTCAATTTTCATGGTATTTACACGAAAGCTATATGAAAAGAAATGCAAGGACCCAAGGAAACAGCAACATCATAGATTGCTCACTTGAAGATCATAAGGAAAAAAAGAATAAACAGAACTCACTATAAGCTCATATATGCTTTGTTTATCCTGTTAGGAACCAATAATGAGACCCTCCCGAGCAATATTGGTCACGCGGAGCACAGCTTGTGCACTTAAGGGTGAGAGTTTTGACTGACAAAAATGCTCCCAGGTACTCATCTCTGAATGTTCAGATAATGTGGCTGATGTAAGATTGTGAGATTTCTCATAAACAGTTTGCAGCTCCAGAAGAAGGCCTCTTGCAGCCTCCCGGGATTCAGGAAGCTGGTCACTAAGCTGTGATGCAGCCACTTGAATCAATTTGTCAATTCCATATGCTTCAATACCTTCAACTCCCTGGAAATTATGAAACATTTTGTTATTACTCAAATAAAAATAAACAAATTTCCTGATGTCATTGAGAACAGCAGCTCTGGAACATGCATGATGCTATTCCTACCTTTTTTTTTGTTGCCTTCCATCAACCTACTACTATTTCCCAGTAGAGAAATTAATTCTCTGAAAGATCAATAACAAGGGTTATTCTGTGAAATTCCTCTAGAAAAAGTGTCCTTTTGTTAAGTAATATATAACCCATTATCCATAAGCCTTAAGTTGATAGGAAATTGTCAAGTTCATTATTTACAATCTAATATGCTTCCTTACATGCAAGCATGCTAAAAGCTAAAGACATGGATCAAACTCAGGCTCTTATATCTTGTTGCTGATATTTTAGATTAAGAGAAATGGGGGAGGCAGCTAGGATCCAAATTTTAGGCCTCAAGCTCTTGTACAACGTAAAACAATTATGACCAATATTTCATGTTGTAACATACCAACAGATCTAAAGCCTTGATCTTCGTTGTTACCTTATTTCCATTAAGTAATTTCAACATAAGATATGCTTCAGCCTCACAAGTTCATTCATAAAGGAGCATGTTAAAGTATAAAAATAGGTTGAGCTCTTTCCTATCATAAATGAAATAATTAATTATAACCAATAAACTCAAAAGCTAAGGCTGTTACAGAATGTACCAATCTGTAACTTAGAACCCTTTCTTCAGTCTTTTCAACAAACCAGAGTATAAATAGAGTGGAAGCACCGAGAACTATGAATACACTAATAAAAAACAATGGGGGAAATGAAAAGGGCTAAAAGAATAGGGAAAACACCACATACATTATCCTCCTTTGGGTGCTTCAAAACAAAGCTTAAACAAAGACCCAAACCCACAA